TTGAGGGAGGTTTCGTATATATATATTTTTAAAAATATTTATCTCCTGGTTTCGTAATATAGGCCGTCGATCCCACTCATTTGCATGCAATACCTGATAACTCCCTTATAGATCTATTTGGGTTTATTCCCCATTGGTTTTATCGTGTGCAGTCTAGAGTACAGACATCGTGAGCCACAGAGCACAGGAAAGACAGACGATGCAAAAACTGATTCTGTAGTTATCATAAGTCCCCCCCCCCCCCGTGGGCGGTGCTACTGACTGAAGTTGTCTTTAGGCCATTCCCAAAGGGGGGATATTAACATGTTCTTATTCAGAGTAGAATCATAACTGGGCTGATTTATCAATGTCATGCTCATACTGTGCCGCAACAACATAGGGGGGACTGCTGCTTTTTCTTTCCTCATTCTTACTATCGTCATTTTTCCTCTCCTTCTTTTGTATGTTTGTCACTCTCTTATGAACTGCTATTTCTGGGTGCCTTGATAGTCGAAGCAGACTTTGTGCTGTTGAGGCTAGAGAGGTGAGCAGAGTAAGCCTGATTCCCCGTTTAGTCTTCTCTGTTGACATCCACCCCTTGGCGCTCATATGACCTTATGCAGTTGCGAGCGCCGTAAAACCTTACTAAAACAAAAGAAAACATCTTTGAACAAAGTGTAGGAAATGTCTGAGCACATTGGAGACGGTTTCTTTGGCCGACTAAAACGTCTCTGTACCGTGTGTATTCATCACCGACTGGCGCTGTGGTCTGAGGGAGGGGTTATTGCGCGCGTGTGGAGGACGGGAGGGGGGAGGAGGGGAGGGATGAAGAGGGGAGGGATGACGGGAGGGGGGAGAAGGGGAGGGGGAGGCTCCTACTGACCCGCTGTTTGCCAGACTTTGGCTTCTCCCAGAATCCACTCTGTGGACATCCCCACAAAGACAGCTATTTGGTGTTCTTTAGCCGCGAGAAAAGTTTATGTGTGTCTTTTCTCGTTTGCATTTCTCTGTCCTGTCCCCCCCTCTCTTATCTCCCTCCCTCTCTCCCTCCCCCTCTCTCTCTCTCTCTCTCTCTCTCTCTCTCTCTCTCTCT